TCCTCTCCTTTAAAATGCTAAGACAGTCACCAAGAGAATGTTTGTCCCAGACGTAGATTTTGCACACTATGATGTTGTTGGTTCACCTCCTTTCTTTCACACAAAGTAAGACTCTATTTTTATTTTTTTTTGTATAATTTCTTTTAATTTGAGCATGTATTTAGGTTATAATTTGTATTAAACAAAAAACTATGAGTGGAAGATCCAAAAATTCATTTGCGCCAAAGAATACGTTTCTCTACCATTTATTTCTTTTTGTTGTCTCTTCTTTTTTTAAGTTATGGTGAATAACAACGAAAAAGAGAGAAAAATAAATTTTTGAATAGAGTTATAAGAATAAAAAGACAATAAAAAAGACTACAAGTTTAAGCACGATGAAGAAAAATGGTACATAGAAAGGGTAGAGTCATGTTTATCACTGTAATTTGATCCATGTAACATCTCGGATGCTAAAGATTGTATAGTTAGGGGAAAAGCTAACGTACAATCGTATATATAGTTAGTCGAAGAGCTAAAGTATAATGTTTTAATGAGAGAGGTACATGAATGAATTAAATCAACACTCGAACGAGAGGAATCCAATGATTGTGCATGTATGTGATTGTACAGTTGAGGATGACTCATAAGAATTAATAACTACTACCTATACTAACAAGATGCATATATTTTTTGGTAATCTATAACAGAAAAACTCCATAATTAAGAGTGCTTGACTTGGAGCAATTCTGGGATGAGTGACTTCTTGAGAAGTTTCTCAGGAAGTGTGTGAATGAAGATAAAGCACGTTGAAAAGTCTTGTATTAGTTTGTGGGAATAGTCATTGATCCTAAAAGTCACTGCGTGTTACAATTGGTATCATAGCATAACCTCTTTCCTAATACGATGTGGTTCGAGGATGAACTAAGCAGAAGTTGTGGGCATTTAACATCCCGGATGCTGACGATTGTATAATAGTGGAAGAGCTAACGTACAATCGAATGTCTAGTTAGTGGAAGAGCTAATATACAATGTTTTAGCATGAGAGTCACATGAATGAATCAAATCAATACCCAAACGAGAGGGATCTAAAGATTGTGCACAGTGGCGGACCCAGAATTTTTTTTTTTATGTGTGCACATTTAAAACGGGGGTTCCCCCGAAGATTTTTTTTAAAGAAAATTTTAAATGTATAGGGTTTAAGCTTTAAGCTTTAAGCTTTTAATTATAGGGGTTGGTTGGGTTGAGCCCATGTTAGTTAAAATCCCGATTTATATCTGTGATTATATGATTTTACGATTTTTTTAATCAAAACGATTTCATCAAAATTCCAAACACTTTTACGATTTTACGATTTTTTTACGTTAGGATTTTACGTTTTACGATTTTTTATCCTCCTTCTGATTTTAGATAAGATTTCGATTTTAACTACTATGAAGATCCTGATTTTAACTACTATGGTTGGGCTTATGTTTACTTTTTTCTTTTCAATCTTCTTAAATCTTTTTTTTTACTTTACCTAAATCACCCACCCCTTTGAAAAAAAAAATTCTAAAATGTTTGTGTCTGCATGTGCAGACACATGCAACACCGTAAGTTCGCCGCTGACTGTGCAGGTAAGGGACTGTACAGTTGAGGATGACTTATAAGAATTAATATGTACTCCCTATACTAACAAGATGCATCTACTTTTTGGTAACTCATAACGAAAGAACTTCATAATTAAACGTGCTTGACTTGGAACAATTCTGGAATTGGCGACCTACTGGAAAGTTTCTTAAAAAGTGTATGAGTTAGGACAAAACACGTCAAAACATCTTGTATTAATTTGTAGGGACAATTATTAATCCTAAAAGTCGCCAAGGTGTTACAATACATACATAAGAAATTTATTAAGATAAATAATTGAAATTTTATTCACTTGACATTATCACAGATATACATTATTGTGCATGCATTTTGAGTTAAATTTAAAATAAACCTATTGATTTTGTTTATTCTTAATTTTATTACTCTATTCAGTTACAATATATATCATTTATGGTAATTTTAATTAGAAATAAAGCTTATGAAAATTATTTTACCAAATAATTTATTTTTAACTTAATTTTTAAAGTAATTTTAAGTTAAAAATAATATATAATCACCATACAACTTTTAATTATTTGTTTAAAATTCGATTTTTAACTTCAACTTAACAGTAGTTTTTATGTTTTAAAACTCGTACTTTTTCTTTTTCAAGAGTAGCTCTACCTAATACGAGTTGTCAAATATGCAATTCATTAGACATCACACGTTTATTTTATGTCAATTATATTTAATAAATTCTTAAGCTTTTGAAATTACACTAGCAATGTGGACAACTGATAAGTGTCCAAGACACTATGTTTTTATGGCTAAAAAGAGTTTAAATAATTATTAAAATAGTTAAAAATATAGTGTTAAAACAATAAAACAGTAAAGAAAAAATGAATTGCCAACAAATAGACAAAATTCTAAATATTTGTTGTTATTTCAGGTTGTTAAGACTAGAATAACAAAGTGTCAATATGATAAGGACGAGGCAACAGTAAAATTCGCAGAGCAATGGGAAAATCAGAAATTAAATAATAAATAAAAAATTAAATAAATGTAATGCTCACCACACTGTTCGATTAAGCGAGCAAGTGGGTGAGAAAACCACTAAAGCTCGCAATGCAACTCACTAAATAGAGTGATTGGGTGACCAGCAAGAAATGTTCCTCGCTATAGTGAGTAATTAGGTGACAAGCAAAAGTTGCTCGCTAAGCAGCTCGCTTTAGCGAGCTCCTTAGCGAGAAGGTCCAAAATTCTGAAGCCCACATTTTCTCTTTAAATACGAAGCGAAGCAAGCCGTGAAAGGAACTCTGGAACGCGAAGGAAAAGTCAGAGACCGAGACGAAGCGAAGGAAGGAGCGGAAGAGTAGCACTGGACCGTGGCAGAGGAGAAGGAAGGAGTCAACTCTGCACCATTGATCATCACCATTAGACAAGTTTTATCATGAACTTCATTAGTTTTACAGTAGCTTTAAATTTTGTTTTATCATTATGCGTAGCTAATTTACTTTTAGTAGTTAGGAAGATACAGAACCAATGGGTTCTTAGTTGATGTTTGTTTATTCTTATGAATTACATTCTTGTTTCTAAATTATGCAATCAATCTGATATTTATGCTTAGTTTTATTTATGACTTGATCACTCGTAGATAAACATGAGTCATGTATGACAATAGAGATGTTGGTATGTGATTCTGATTGGTTGATTGCTGGAATTTGCATGATCTAGGATAGACTTGTGAATTTTATAACTGTGAGTTCTTGCGTTAATGCTTATTTTATGAAAAAGTACTAAGGGATTAGGCTTTGGATTAGAATAAAGAATTAAATTACCAAGGGATTGGGATATTGTCAAATGTCAATTATAGAAAGAGCTATTAATAATTTAATCTTGAATGTAATCGTAAGAATAGGCAAACTCGTTAAGAAATCATAGGGCAAGTTGAATCCTAACTACGCTTTTTTTATTAAAAATCTAAACTTAATTTCTAGTATTCTAAATTCTGAATTTAATTTCTAAAATATTAAAAACCAAAAATAGTTTTACAAATTCTACTTTTAATTAAATCACAATATTCTCAAGAAAATCTTTAATGATTGATCCAACTTTAATTAAATAAATATATTATTGCTTGGTCATCAGTCCTCGTGGGATCGGCAACTTTCTTATCACTTTATTACTTGTACGACCGGTTCACTTGCCGAGTTCGTCAACAAGTTTTTGGCGCTGTTGTCGGGGACTGATTAATCAACATTAATTTTATTTATCGAATTATAGATTGGATCATTTTATTTTATTGTTATTTATTTTTCTGTGTTAGTTTAATATTTTTATAGTTTTTATTGTTATTTAGTTTATTTAGTCTTGTTATTTTATTTTGTTAGCTTTAAATTTTAAATTTTCTATTTAGTTAGTGGTTTCCGTTAAATTGGTCCACTGAGCCTTAGTTTTCTGGTTTATGCATCTGCGAGGCACTGTTAATCCCAGTGACCTACAGTACGAACCAGAGTTAGGACGTTTAGAAAGAACTAATATGAAACGTTTGACCGAAAGGAAGACACGAGAAACATCGAGCTCCAATTCTGCGGAAGGACCAATCATGGTCGAGGATAACCAAAATTCACCCGAAGAACTGATGAGCCATTTCTTAAACCCTAATTTCTCGCATCCGACTGCGATTATTAGGAGACCTCAAATCCATGCCAATAATTTTGAAATAAAAGCCTCATTCCTGAATTTAATTCAAAGTAATCTATTTGAAGGAGACCCGATCGAAGACCCAAATCGTCACATCACTAAATTTCTATAATTATGTAGTCTCATTAAAGCTAATGGGGTTCTTCCTGAAGAAATTCGTTTGATGCTTTTTCCCTTTTCTTTAAAAGGGAGAGCACTTAATTGGCTGGAATTGCAACCTGCGAATAGCATCTCCACGTGGGAAGAATTAGTTTAAAAGTTCCAAAAGAAGTTCTTCCCACTTTTCCGATTCTCCGAGTTGAAAGAACAGATTGACAACTTCAAGCAGCTCGAAGGCGAATCTCTGTGCGTAGGATGGGGAAGATTTAAAGAACTAATCAGGAGATGCACAATACGTTTTATCTAATGGCGAGAAGGTCTGAATTTTCTACAAAGGAGTTACTCCGACTTATCGAGTACTTCTTAATGCTGCAGCTGGAGGGAGTATCGGAGAAATCACTCCCACAAAGGCTATTGAGCTAATTGAGAATATGGCATCTGAAGATAACGAGGTCACACCAGTTCAACCTAAGAAATGAGTTTTGCAGTTAGAAGGGTACGACGCTATGTTAGCCAAACAAGACAAGATGAATCAAAGGCTAGATTCACTTGTTAAACTCTTTACCCAAAATCAAATCTCTGCGGTTAACTCTCAATTTCCTGTAGTTTGCGATACTTGTGGTGGACCACACACTCCTGAAAATTGTGACACTATGGTAACGATTGATCCAGCTCAGGTTAATGGAATCTGGAATAACCAGAGGAGAGAAAATCCTTATGGAAATACGTACAATCCGAGCTGGAGGAATCATCCTGGTCTATCCTATAAAAATGGGCCCCAACATAATAATACGAATTTCCAACAAGCCCAACCTAGTCAGAAGGCCACATGGGAAGTTGCATTCGAAAAGATGGCCCAGTCTCAAACAAATTTCGCAGAAGAAACGAGAGCATCTTTAAAGAATCAAGAAGCTTCCATAAAGAATCTGGAAATTCAGTTTGGTCAGCTTGCCAAACAGATGGCTGAGAGGCCTCCAGAAACCTTTCCTAGTAATACAATTGTTAATCCCAAGGAACAATGTAATGCCATCATTACAAGGGAAAGTGTGGAAATACCAATAGCTGCACCGAGTAGTGAAAAAGATGCAGAGAAGGAAAATCCAACTGAAGAAAAAGTTGATGATCATGTCGATAGAGATGTCACAATTATTGGAGGACCATTAAATGACACCCCACGTAAAAAAGTAATAAAGAAGCCTTCTTTAGAAGAAAGAATGAAAGGGTTGGGGGATAACCCGTATGTTAAGGCTCCTTATCCTCAAAGGTTACAGCAGCACGAGCAGAAGAAAAATTTCTCTAAATTCTTAGAGATTTTTAAGAAGTTGCACATCAATATCCCTTTTGCAGAAGCTTTAGAGAAAATGCCATCATATGCTAAGTTTCTAAAAGAGATCCTAACCAAGAAACGGAAGCTCACAGTAAAAGGATCCACTATTTTGACAGAGGACTGTGGTGCAATCACGCAGAAGAGTTTGCCTCCGAAATTAAAGGATCCAGGGAGTTTTAGTATCCCTTGCATGATTGGCTTGATGACAATAGAGAGTTTTATGTGATTTAGGTGCCAGCATCAACATAATACCATTATCTATGATGAAGAAGCTGGGAATCACAGAAGTGAAGCCGATCAATATGATTCTACAACTAGCTGACTGCTCCACCAAGCAAGCATATGGAGTAATAGAGGACATACTTGTTAAGGTGGACAAGTTCATCTTCCCGATGGACTTTGTTATCTTGGATATAGAGGAGGACACTATTGTTCCCATGATCTTTGGTAGACCTTTCTTAGCGACCTTTGGAGCTCTAATTGATGTGCCTAAGGGTGAATTAATCTTAAGGGTGGAAGGAGAAAGGGCTATTCTCAAAATGTCTGAAAAAAACTCCACCACCTACAACTCAGCCAGAGAAAATTTTCTTTATTGAGGAAAAGAAGGTTGAAGAAGAAGAAAAGAAAGATCATAAGCCAGATGAGAGTTGCAAGCCAGAGGTGAAGATGGCAAAGCCTAAGAGCAAAGGAAAGCACATCAAGACTAAGTATAGAGTTCTTGAGGTCAAACCTTCTCGCCCATATGCACGAAAGTACTATTACGGCAAAACAATATTTATGATAAAAGGAATGACATCATCTTTGAATTCCGGCTACAGGCCGCCATGATTAATGAAGATGTAACATCAACCTAATGACGTTAAACAAGCGCTCTTAGGAGGTAGCCTAAGAATTTATCGCTTTTAAGTTAATTATTTTAGTTTTATTTTTCTTTTGTTTATCTGTTTTGATTAATGATGACTCTGGTGATGTACATATTTTATTTTCTCACTCTGTTGTGAGTATGACTGCTACTGACAACTTTATCTGATGTTATTTTTTGAGATGATGTGTGCAGTTCTTTCTTTTTGATTTATAAATTGTTGAGGACAGCAAATTCCTAAATCTGGGAATGGGGACGCACCGCACCACATATGCACCGCATATCTAGTAGCAGCAGCCAGTACAATTATGATTCTTGTGATGAGTAGAACTGCAAATTTTTTGTAGAAAACAGGGAGAATTCTTTTCTTATCACTCTTTATTTTATTATGTCTCTTCTTTTCTTTGTCTGGATTAATAAATCATGCTAAGTTAGAATTAGTCAGTAAAATTAATTTATGATGTGATGACTTAGAGTATATTTGTTTTATGAATGAGCATTGATTGAGTTAGTCTAAGAGTCAGTAAGAATAATAAAATTACAGTATGAGTAATTGGGAAAGAGTATAAATTACTGAATTGCACACGTATAACCGTGAGGTTTGAGCCTAAACAGAAAATTCTTTTCAATGTGCATTTTACTGTTGAAAATATTACCAGAACTTGCTTTGTTTCCCCTTGAAGTAATTATTTGCGTGCATGTTTGAAATGATTGAGGCATTTTATTGTTTTAACTAGTAAGCCAAAAAGCCAACCATTATGATATCCTTTGTTTAGCACCTTGAGCTTAAGCCTTTTTTGTTCTTAATACCTGTCATCTTAATTAGCCACTCTACATACACATCTACCTTAAATAAGATTGGATTATAGAAATTTCATGGTAGGGTGTAAACATGAGTACTTCGTCATGTAATTC